CCTCATCAATTATTGAATCAATGAATCAACTTTTGCACCCGTACATCCATTTCACGCAGCTCACTTAAGGATTAACCTGCAGAAACCAAACATTTGCTCAAACAAGACTTCCTACACATCTAAAACCTACAAACAGCAAATTATTGAATTCTAGGTACTTAACCAAACATTTTCAAACCAAAAGGAGTATATATGTTAACAAAACTTGCATTTGACTTACCAATTAACAATGGATACTTTCATAACGCGGATGCAGGTAGGCAACGTCTAGAATATATCGCTCTAGCCATATAATGCCGAAACCACAAGCCTGCTGCATCTATCTCTATCGGTGGGAGGTAGAAACTTTGTGCTTCCCGTCGTCAAACGCGCCAAACATATGCATACGAGAGGACCACAATCTCCTCTGGCTCCCGGCGATTGTTGTGGCACGGTCTCGTCTCTGACAACTGTGACATTGAACTTCTTTGGCTTCTTGTGTCCAGAATTAGTCCAATAATTAATCCCATCCAAGAATTTAGCCAAATGAGAGCTCCATCCCTTGATAATATCTCTCAAATCAGACAGTGATATGTAATTTATCATGTTGTCATATACTATTATCTTCAGGGATGGGAGCTGAAGTTGGACGAGAAGCCAATGACGACGTTCCAAAACAGGGATAAACACCTGCAATCATAATTAATAATTCATTTATTTGCGCACTTATTTATGAACACCTTTAAAAAATTTAAAAAATAAATACTAACCTTATCGACCTCCCACCATGCAGGATAAAGTTTAGCTTGTCCATTGCCCAACGAAAATGATTCATCTCGTTGATTCTTCAAGTGAACTGCGTGAAAAGCCGCCGGCATTATTGTATATCGCGAATTTTTTTTATTTTTCCTAAGCTTCCTTATTATTAGAAGACGTGACACCCACGCATCGATATGCTGTTTTACAAAAAAAAAAGACATATATTAGTGAATTACATTAATTTTTAAAAAAATTAATCAAAATCATATATAAGACAAATATAAGACTTACCTCCCCATCGAAATAACCACTGTCTTCAACCCCTAATAACACACCCCACCAAGACCGATTAAGCAACAAATACATCTCATCGTTGAGTTTGCTTATGTCAGTGTAACACCCTTGGCTCCGCTCATGTAGATAAAAATCAACTGCGGTCTTAGCCCAAAGGGTATTATCCAGAATTGTTTTCGGTAGTTGTCTCCTCTCCACTTCAGATACCGGAAGGGTACTAGTCGGTAACTCATACGAGAGCCAACTCTCATCCATCATGTCCGGTAACGGTGGGGGTTTCTCAATAATTCGATATATTACCCCATGTGAATCGGGCTCTGGAATGGTGGGAGGGACCTCTTCAACGATGACAGTGGCCTCTTGAACGGTGGGGGGGACTCTTGAGGGATGATAGGGGCCTCTTGAATGATTGGAGGGGACTCTTGAGGGATGACAGGTGAGTCGGGCTTCTTCTTGCGGAGTCTTCGCACCATTGGGGTGAACGGAGACGTAATAGCACGTGCACGCCGTCTGATGCGTGAACTCCGTCGTGCAAGGAAAACCCGACGTAAAGCATCCACCTTATCGGGCCGCTAAAAAAAATTAATACATAAATCAGTAAATAAACAGACATGATATTAAACAAAGACAAATATGTTTCAAACTTGCATTGTATTCACCCAAGTCATTATTCTATCATAGTTCACAAAATGCATCAGATAACATTCCAGAAGTAAGCACTTATATAAACATTTAAAAGGACAACATATATAAATATTCAAGAAGAAGAATAGTTTACTTTCACAACACGAAACTTACTTTCGCAACGCGAAAATGACTATCGCAACGCGGAAATGACTATCGCAACGCGGAAATGGCTATCGCAATGCGAAATGAAAATCGCAACGACAAAATCGCAATGCGAAATGAAAATCGCAACGACAAAATCGCAACGCGAAACACAAATCGCATTGCGATTTTCATTTCGCATTGCGATTTTGTCGTTGCGATTTTCATTTCGCATTGCGATTTTGTCGTTGCGATTTTCATTTTGCATTGCGATAGCCATTTCCGCGTTGCGATAGTCATTTTCGTGTTGCGAAAGTAAACTATTCTTCTTCTGCTAATTGAAACTTGAATGGATTGCATTACTTCAACCAAAAGACAAAAACAAAACCAAAAACAAATACTAACAAAAACAGTTTAGCAGTATTGGCAGCAACCGAATGAATTTATTAAGCAATCTAAGTGAAATGGTTAATCTAAGTGAAATTACGAGTAAATTTATCATCAAGTTAAATATGAAAAATCTTAAACTTACCTCGTTGCGTAGAGTATGAACCTCATTCTGTAATGATGCTACCATCTCACGTAGAGCGGCTACCTCACCGCGTAAAGTAGACACCTCAACACGCCATGCACCATCGTCTTTGCGTAAAGTACCGACCTCCTCACGCAAGGCATTGACCTCATCACATAACTCTCCTAACTCATCCCGTGGAGGTGGAGGTGGAGAACATGGAGATAAACGTCGTGGCATCTTTGCCGGTCGCCTATCTTACGGTGATGGTGGAGAAGAGGCTCGATGATGTGATAGAATAGGTGATAGCTGTCGTTGTGGAGGTGTATAGTCGGGTCGATCAGGTGATGGCTCTGGGTGAGGTGATAGCTCTGGGTGAGGTGATGGCTCCCGAAGTGGAGGCTGCTCATCATCTGTGCCATCAAAAAAACGCTTACTAGCTTGCCACTAATCAGTGGCAAGCTCAGCTTCCGTGGGTGTCAGCCTCTGTAATGGAGTGTTGGCCTCCTAACAATATAAAAGCTCAAACAAAGTTAAACGTGTACTAGTAATAACTTGTTTATAAACATATGGCAGTATTTATGTTAACTTACATTATTGTCGTATACCGTAGTAAATCTTCCCATTGCAAGGTTCGTTTCCTCTTCCAGGAAATAGCCTTGGGAATATCATTTGAAGTTTTTATTGCATATGTCTTCATGGCGGGAAAGGCCTCAAATATCCAAATCTACAAACAATATAATAACAAACATTAGTAATTGTTAAATAATTACTTATAATTTTGGAAACATTATATAAAAATGCTTACCTTAAAGACCCAAATAAAGCCTGTCAAAGTGTATTTGGAACCATCGCCATGCAAACTTTTTCGATCATCCAAGGCAGACGATAACTTATTCCATGTAGCTTTCCATAAATACGAGCCCCACGGAAACAGGTTCCACGCATTTAGGTCTTCTACCAATTTGATTAGATCATTCGGAATAGGTTGTCTGGCCTCTCTGCCTAAAAAGCCGGCATGCAAAAGTATTAGAAGGCATACTCGGACAACATCGACGTCATCCATCCGAGTAAAACCATCTTTCTTATTCAATAATATCGTCAGGTCTTCCACGTGTAGATTCGGCCTCTCCAGCTCAGGAAAAACCCGGGATAACCATGATGGGCGGGTAATGTGTCTAGTGTACCGACCTACATCATCGTGTCCGAAACGTAGACCGGTGATTAAGCAAAACTCCTCCCGCTCAAAACACGTATACGCCGGTGGAAAATCAAACCATATCTCTTCATCACGACGTTGTATAGTATCTGGTAGATCCTAGTCATGGTTTAAGAAACAGGTGTGTCAACATCGCATCTCCACCGGGATGTTGTACTTTCAGCCATGGCCTGAAGCAAGTATCCTCAAACATTTTTCTTTGTGCAGGTGAAAGCTTCGACGTAATTGTTTTGGCCAGGCTGACTTTATTTTTAAGGTCAATTGAGCCGAATAAAAGTTCTACAAAAACAATAAACATACTAAGTTAGATATACCAAAAACTACACTGTGAAGATATACCAAAAACAATAATAAACATAAAGAGTAGTAGTTTATTCTTCAAACTTAAATTTGCAACACTGTGACTTTCTTATTTGTCCTTGTTTTTTGTTGAAGTAATGCAATTCATTAAAGTTTCAATTTGCAGAAGAAGAATAGTTTCTGAAAATGAAAATCGCAACACGAAAATGACAATCGCAACGCGAATTTGACTATCGCAACGAGAGAATAAAATCGCGTTGCGATTTTGTCGTTGCGATTTTCATTTCGCGTTACGATTCTCGGTTGATTTAATAAGCAATCTAAGTGAAATGGTTAATCTATTATTGAAATTACCAGTAAACTTATCGTCAATTTCAATATGAAAAACCTAATAATAATGCAAAAATTTCAAAAAGAAATAATTAAAAAAACTAACCATCGGTGGTTGATTTGTTGATTTTCCATTTCTGATTGTGAGGGTGGCTCTGAGAGATGGAGATAGACGGATTTCGCCGGAGATGGTGACGGATTTCGTCGGAGATGGTTGAGAGAGTGAGAGATGGAGATGAGACTGAGTTGTGATTTTAGGTTTTAGGTTATGAGTTGCGATTACGGGATATACTGTGGACGATTCAGTGTTCCAATATATTAATATTCGTGTTTGGAATTTGAAAAATAAAATACGCTTTGCGATACTAATGGCGCTTTGAAAATCGCATTGCGATTATGTATTATCTCGTTGCGAAAGTCAGTATTGCGTTGCGATTCTGTATTATCGCGTTGCGATAGTCAGTATCGCGTTGCGATTTTCCAAATTCGCATTGCGATTTTCAAAATTCGCATTGCGATTTACTTATTCGCATTGCGAATTGGGAAAATCGCAACGCGAAATTGGAAAATCGCATTGCGATAGTCATAATCGCGTTGCGAATCTGGAAACTGATTTGCGATAATGGAGATCGCGTTGCGAATTAGCGATCGCATTACGATTTTGTTGATCATTTTGGCAAATCCGAAAAAATTTGATTAAAATCGTATATTATATGAGATTCTTGATCACTGAAATTATTTTCTCTTAAATTAATCATTAAAGTTTTTGCTTACGCGTTGTTTCGGCGGCCTTGAGTTTCGCCCAATAAAACTCGGAGTTGCCCTATCTCTCACTCTCTCTCCTATAATCTCAACAGTGCCAAATTAAATAAAAAAGAACAACCAAAACCTTTGATTTGATCGAATAATAATGGAATCAATACAAAGCAGAGTGGAGACATGGATCAAGGATCAAAGAGCAAAGATCCTCAAGGCCTCTTGGGGTCCGCTTCAGTGGCGGATGAGGTGGCATTGGCCCCCTTGGAACAAGGGTGACATGGAGCACCGCCAGAAACTCCAGCGAGAGTACGAAAGACGAAAGCGGCAACTCCACGACCTTTGCCGTGCCGTCAAAGCTGATTCTCTCTCGGATTTGCAGGACATTCTTTGTTGCATGGTCCTCTCCGAGTGCGTTTACAAGGTATATCAATAATTGAAGCTTTATCCATATTTTCCCCCTTCTGCCAATTTTGCACCTCGTATATTTAAAAATCTTATGATTTGGTAGTTAATTTAAAAATATATATATAAGTTAAAAGTGAATTTATCCATATTCAATTTCAAACGGAATTGTATCTTTTAAATTGATTTTTCAATTTTTCATGACAATTTTCCCCTTTCACGGTAGAAACCTGCTACTGAGATGATTCGAGCTGTAAACAAATTTAAGGCTGATTTTGGAGGACAAATTGTTTCTCTAGAACGTGTGCAACCTTCTGCTGATCATGTTCCACACAGGTTATTTATTTTTTAGTCTACAATCTACACTCCTTTCTAATACGAACAAAAATGTTGCTGAAGATGATTTCGTTTTTGTGGGAATATCAATTGCTTCTTTACATGGAGTCATAATTTTGGCCCAAATTTGTAAGTAATGCGGTTATGGAAACATTTTTGACCTAGTTGTATTTTTCTCATTACTTCTCAACAATTCAACATGCCTGTGTAGCTTTGGCCCTAATCGGAACAAAAGAAGGGGTTAAATAGAAAGGTAAGGAGACTAAGAGAACAATATAAATAAGTTTGAATGCAGGTGTGTGCATCCATTGTAAATCTAAACATGGAGATAGAGTTGAGTTACATAACTACATAAGGTGATTAACTTAGCCGGTTGCCTGGTTTGCATCTGACGTGGATTAGATAGTTCTTTGATGGCACTCCACCATGAACAACTACTGATCAGTTGCATGCATACATGCCTAAGATATTTCCTTTGAGTTAGGCTGTCGCTGGTTCTCTTATTTTTTTCTTTGCATATCTCTTATTGCAGGTATTTGTTGGCAGAAGCAGGTGATACACTATATGCTTCCTTCATCGGAACCAAGCAGTATAAGTAAGCATGGCCGATTATTGTTTGACTCATTATTTCTTTCTTTCAAAGGATTAATTTTGTTTGCTTTGCTTTCTTGATTTCATTAAGAGATGTCATGGCTGATGCAAACATACTTCAAGGTGCTATATTTCATGAGGATGTTATGGAGGATGTTGACAGGATTGAATTAACTGAAGCTAAGCGGGGTGAAAGACAAAAAGGAAATGAGGAAAACCAGTTCAATCCCTTGGAATCAAAATTTAAACAGATTAAAGATAGGCCTAAACCTGCTGCACATCGGGTTTGATAACAGTCCATAATTCATATATCATAAGAACTTGTTTTCTTGTTTTTTCCATTGATACTTAAGTCTTGAACTTCCTTGAAATCTCTACATACTTAGTTACATTCACTCCAATTTACCATCTTTAGGGTTTCTTGGCTCGTGCTAAAGGCATACCTGCTTTGGAGTTGTACATGCTTGCTCAGAAAAAGAAACGAAAACTTGTATTATGTGGGCATTCCCTTGGTGGAGCAGTAAGTTCGATAAACTAGTTTTTCTTGAGATTTACCTGATGTGTTGTGGCAGACTATCTATTTCACACCTTTTCTATGCATGACATAGTAGGTGGCAGCATTGGCTACCCTTGCCATTTTGAGGGTCATTGCTGTATCATCTTCATTAAAAGAAAGTGAAAGAGTTCAGGTCAAGTGTATAACATTTTCCCAACCTGCAGTAGGAAATGCGGCCTTAAGAGAGTGAGTGCTTTACCCTTTCGTGAAATATTTATCCTGTGATTTTTTCCCCCTGAAGCTAATGTGTTGTTCTGCTTGCCCTATAATCAAAATTTCCAGTTATGTTAACAGAAAAGGTTGGCAACACTATTTCAAGAGTTACTGTATTCCTGAAGATCTTGTACCCCGTATCCTTTCACCTGCTTATTTCGATCACTACAATACACAAAGTTTATTAATGTCCTCTAACATGGAAAATACCAGTTTATCTACATTAAAGAATGAACACGGGGCACAGAAAGGAAAGGCTGAGAAGATAAAAGAAAATGAAGGGGAGCAATTGGTTATAGGTGTAGGCCCTGTCCAGGGGCCTTTCTGGAGACTTTCAAGGCTTGTTCCATTAGAAGGGGTTAAAAGACAATTTAAAAAATACAGAAGAAAGCAAGTTGACCCCATAGAGCCATTTGCAGCTGGCACTAGCACTGCATCTTCCATTGAGGACGTAGTTGTTGAACCACAGTCTCTTGAAATTCAAGAGGGTACTGATGGCATATCTCTTAAACCATTTGCTGACACTGATAATTGTGAGTCAGACACGGGATCTGGAAAGTTAACAGAGAAAAGTAATGGTAGTGGAGAAAACAATAGATGGCGTAGAGTGCCTTCTTTACCTTCATATGTACCGTTTGGACAGGTATATATTATGAAGGAATACTTCATTCATTAGTGTGTATTTCAATCAACTTAAAGCTACACATGCATGAAGGTGGACAATATCTATAATAATTTGTCTTTGTTGTTTATTTGCTAAGCATATGCTAAGTAGGGATTTTGAGATTTTTCTAAAATTTGATTATCATCACCAATTGGTAACAGTTGTTTCTTATCTGCAAGTGTCAAAGGGCATCTAAGTATATACTTTCTGTAAAGTAATCCTGATTTTTAATTGTCCATTTGTCCTAAGGTCTTGCTTCTGCTTGCCTACCTATCTATTCAAGGAATTTTAATTTCTTCAAATATTTAATGAGCTTTCATACTTTTAAATTTGCCTAAGTGAAACATCTTTGGGAATTTTGTTACCTTTCCTGATAGTTGCAACTATTGTCAACTGTCACTCAAATTGGAAAAATGAGATATGCATCATCCTATGCTGTTCTTCTAATGTTACAATGCTTAATGGTTGCGACAAACTGAAGCTTTTCTTGTCATCATTTCAGTTATTTATACAAATGAATTATTTATTAATAAATTCACATATAACAGCTTTATCTCTTGGAGAATTCATCAGTGGAATCGCTCTCAGGTGCAGAGTACTCAAAGTTGACATCGGTATGAGTTTCCTTTGTTTATAACGCATCTGTCTAGTCTTCTTAACAAAACTTTGGCATTTATGAGCATGGGACTATTTCTTCTGCAGCCTCTCATTTTGTTTGCTTTCTTCTGGCAAAGATATGTTCAGGTCAGATCTGTGATTGTTGAATTAAGGGAGAGATTTCAATCTCATTCAATGAAGTCATATAGGTTTCGGTTTCAAAGGTAGTAATAAATTATGAAATAGTTTTAATTCATGCTACTGTTTATTTTATTTTTTTAGTTCTAAACTCTAGTTGCAATGTTGCATTTCTTTTTCTTCTTTTAGATCAGCTTGCATCTTTATTCCTTACATTGCAAAATTGGTCTTTATGTTTCAACTGTTTTTAATATCCTTTGATCAATTCTTAATGAAAAATTCACAACTTATACAAAGTACATCAGTCAGTTCCAGTAAAGTGACCAAATAGAGACCATATTCTAAACAAATTGAAGATACAAACATATTAACTGTTGATGAACGCAACATTGTGGCTTCCTAGTCCTTCAATGATATTAAGTGGGTGTTATCCCACATCTATTAAGTCTTGGGTTCCCCATGGTCCTATAGTCAATCTGATTCCTTTCGCCTATTACCTATTAATTTTAGGCTAAATGCCAACATCATTTAAGAGGTCAGGTGTGTTATGTTATTCCTGCCTAACCCTGTAGGGTATTGACACCTGTTGTGAGGTTGTCCACATGTAGGCCCTTAGCTAAATGTGAGGGGAAGTGTCAAGTGATGTTATCTCACATGTGGCATAAGACAGTGTGGTGAAATTTTGGGAACCTTTATTTTATCGAGTATTTCATGGAGATAAAGTTTATCCTTGTTTGGGATTTTCCCGTCGAATAATTTCTCTTGAGGCACCTCTGTTAGTGGATTGCATAAATAAGTGATTCATTTTGTACTCCTTTTTGCAGAATATATGACCAGTGCATGAATGATATTGCTTCATCTTTCCTTGGAATGGAGCAATTGCAACAGTTTCCACATTTGCAGCAATGGCTTGGCCTTGCAGTTGCAGGTGCTGTAGAGCTTGGGCATATTGTTGAAAGTCCTACTATCCGTACTGCTACTTCGATCGTGCCTCTTGGATGGAATGGTATTCCTGGAGAGAAGAATGCAGAACCATTGAAAGTTGATATTACTGGATTCAGGTTGCATCTTTGCACCCTATTTCATGCTCAAGTGAATGGCAAATGGTATGGTTGGGCTAATTTTAGTCATTTTCTTGTTTCTATTTTTGTATAATATAATCTTTATGCCCATGCAATATGGTGTTAGGTCTACATTTTTTATATGGATTTAGCAAAATAATACATGCTGGATCACTTTTCTTGAAGTGTGACATTCAAACAAATGCATGTAAAAATATGGTCATATCTGGTCTACATTTTTATGCTCAAAGTTGCGCTAATCTCTTTTTCTCTCTCCTTGGTGAATGATAAGCAGTTTGATATGATATCGGTTCATATTCAGGTGTTCAACTACTGTGGAGTCATTTCCTTCAGCACCAGCTTACTCATCTGGGAATGGGGAACCACCAGAATTACAAAAAATAAGAGTCTTAGTAGGGGCTCCCTTGAGGCAACCTCCTAAGCATCAGATAGTAGCAGACACTGCTAACCTCTATAATGAACATAACTTGGCATCATCTCACCAAGAAAAATACTTAAGGCCAGAAGGTTTGACTGATTTTTTCATTTTCTGTACCAGTGATTTTATCACAGCATCGAAGGAGGTTCATGTTAGAACTCGTAGGGTGCGACTTCTTGGTCTAGAGGTATTCTTATTTCACTTCCAACTTGTAATTTTTGTGCTATTTTTTTGTTTTCTACATTTTCTGAATGTTGGCGTGGTTTTTTTTTCTTGGTACAAACATTATTGAATATTTTATTTATGTGTTACTAGGGTGCTGGTAAGACATCTCTTTTCAAGGCAATACTTGGTCAAGGAAAATTGACCACTATTGCCAATATTGAAAATCTACAAGTAGAAGCTGATTTTCGGGATGGTATTGCTGGCGGTTTATGTTACACTGATTCACCGGGAGTAAATTTGCAGGTATTTTTTTCGAGTCTAAGGAATATCATTGAAACTTTTATGATTCAATGTTGTATGCTGGCTGGCCTTAGATTCATTGCCTTTTATGTCAATATTTATTTTTTCGTTTGGCCACTTTCTATGCAATAGTATACAGATTTATTTTTGTTTGAATATATTTGTGAAGTTCTCCAGCACAATAATGCTTTTACTGTGGGATAGAAAATATTATCTCTCATATTATCTGGGTTTCCTTTCCTTGATTTATTGTCGAGCTTGGGTGATACTGCAATTGAACATTTTCTAAAAAATATTGAATATAAGCTTGAAATCTTTTAGTGCTAACAAGAGTCTTAACAGTGCAAACCAATCTGTAGTTTTAAGCTTTATTAAATATCATATGAACTTTTAGAACTATATATATATATTTAATGAACTACTATTCATCTTTTGGGTCTTAAAAAGAAATTTCACTAGTTTATTTACCTGTGCTTTTTTTCTGTTTGTGGTAGGAGCTGGCCATGGAGGCTTCTCGGTTCAGAGATGAATTATGGAGGGGAATCCGTGACCTTGGTAGGAAGACTGATTTAATTATTCTTGTGCATAACTTATCCCATAAGATACCTCGGTACAATCATCCAGATGCATCACGGCAATACCCAGCCCTTTCACTACTATTAGATGAGGCAAAAGCTCTTGGGATACCTTGGGTGCTTGCAATAACAAACAAATTTTCTGTTAGTGCACATCAACAGTTAGCTGCAATTAATACAGTTGTTCAGGCGTATCAAGCAACTCCAAGCACTACTGAAGTTATCAATTCTTGTCCATATGTCATGCCTGGTGCTGCTAGTGCTTCATTGCCTTGGGGTGTTATAACTAGTGAAGATTCTAATGGGAGAATGGGTGTTCAGAAGCTTCTATCTGCTCCTATCGACCTTGTTCGCCGGCCTTTCCAAAGGAAAGATACTGTTTTTCCTGTGGAGCGGGTTAATTCTCTCTGCCATCTTGTCCACCGTGTTCTTCGGAGTCATGAAGAGGCTTCCCTCGAGGTACAATTATAGATTATGAATAGCTTCTAATATGTTAGCTACTAGTGAGTTCCTTATCTGCAGGCTTTGGAGAGTTTATAGAGAAATATATTTTTTACAGATTTAGATGTGTTTAATTATCGGAAAACTAGCTGAAAAAGAGTGAAGAAATAACAAAGTAAAATTACTAGTGATTGAAATTGAAACTTTCATGTTGTACATTTGCTTTGAATATTGACTATTTTTGTGTCTAACTGAATCCGTTGGAAGGCCATTGCGAGCATGATTAGTTTCTTAAGAAAAAACATATTCCATTCATACAATATGAGGATCTATTTGCTTCAAGATTCTGCTGCCCACATACTTCTAACCAGACAGATTAGTATCAATGCCTGAGAATAGATTCAATGCCACCTGATATGTTCAGGAGTTTTGCAAAGATACTCTTTCCTTACTCATCATAATCTACTTGATGCACATTTGTGGAGATATGACATATCATGATATGACCCAATTCTTTTTTTAGTAAATGTTTACAACAGAATTCCTAGGATATATCCACCCATATGCATTTTATAATAATATCTGTGGGATGAACTTTGAATTACTATTATCGGCCACATTGTTCAAGCATACCGGAAACGTAAAAGTCACTCACTGGTGCCTAGTTATTTGTTATACACAATATGGCTGTAGTGTACCACAGTTTGGTTTCTAATTCCTTTTCATGAAGATCAGATGATGATGAAAAAATTGAGTTTCTTGTTTCGTATCAAATTGCAGGAACTTGTTAGAGATAGGCTTTCAGTGGAGTTGGCACAAGACCACGCTATGGGCGCAATAGATGGGAAGAAGGATTCTCAAGCCAAGGCATTATCCTCTCTTACATCGGCTGCTGTAGGCGCCTCTTTCGGTGCTGGTGTGGGTATCGTCTTGGCTGTTGTCATGGGTGCAGCATCTGCGTTGCGGAAACCCTGAAGCAACATTGCGCATACATATATGACGATATTCGAAGCAGGTGTGCTGTGCTTCCTCCACGACTGTAAATTTTTGTTGATGGTACTAGAATGTAACTTTTAGATGCCATCAGCAGGGTGACAATAGGGGTGGGCAATGGTTTAGGGTTGCCTGTTGAACCAATGGATTTAAATCAATTTTTAGGCGGTCTTGTGATTTGACAAGTGTTTCATAATTTAATTATTTTGGGGTCATATTTTTAGGACTGATCCAGCGTATGGTTCAATTTGTTTAGTTCGATCAATGTACATTTATTATTACTTGGAACTAGTCTGACTTTATTTGGTTCAGTTGATGGTTCTACTTCATTTTATTACACAAGTTGCAAAAAGATTCATCTTTATGGATCTATATCTTCAGAATAATAACTTTAAGAATTTTGGAACAAATAATATTCTCAAATTATTCTTTGTTAATTTATAGTAATTAAATTTTGATATAATGATTTTAAATAATTAAACTTTATAAAATATATTTTAAATGGTATTTTAATTTTTAGTAACTAAATCCTTTAGTAATATTTTAACTGTGTACTTTGTATCAACAATAATTATATATTTCTCGTGTGTTGTATATATAGTCTTTCAGTTTACGGAAGTGTTTATCTTTATCTGAACACAGGCAAGATGAAACTATTTTTTATGAACTTCAACGCTCTCCTTTAGTTGATGGCTTTTCTATGACTTCTGATAAAGGGAATTACATCTCGGACATCTGTTAAGCCAGCGGCAAGGAGAACCATCAGGTCGAACCCTAGGCTAAATCCAGAGTGCTCGACAGTTCCATGCCGGCGGAGATCCAAGTACCATTCATACTGATATTTTGACAAGTTCGAATTCCTTGATCCTGTATTCAGGAAGCCATTGCAGACAATGAGAAATTGTCTTGCATCAATGAGGAAATAATTGTGTCTATGAAACATGGCAGGGACGGCATTATACCTTGTATTTAGAATGTCAAACCGCTCTTCGTTTTGGCTGCCTGTTGCAACTGTTCCGATCTGCATACAATTGATTAGTAAGCTTTTTAACCATTCTAAAGCACCACAGCACTTTGATGCCGGAAGATTTACCTTGGGTACGACCATCTCGAATGCTGCAACTATTTTTCCATCGTCACACGGAGGGCATTTCATAATTCGGAGGTCTCCCACGGAAGCTGCTCTCAACCTGGCGTTGGGGGCAGCCTACTATCATACCTTCTCCTTACCCCATTACATATGGGAAAAAGGGTCAGCTAATATTCAAGCGTACATAAAATGGCTTAACTGCTTTCGGATATTCATAAATAATTACAGGCCTCCTATAGTGTTCATCAGCCAAGTAGCTGTCACAGAGTGAATGGACATGGTAAGAACCGCACTAATCAAGGAGTGAATGGACATGGTAAGAACCACACTAATCGAGGAACGATTTGCATTCAGTTATACATACCTTAGATGTTCATCTGTCAAAGGGACACCCCACTGAAGTTGTATTTCAAAGGCCTTATCTGTGACCTGTTGTCCAAGAATGAAAGACTTATTTTCAGACAGGAAATGGTTGATATGTAGGTTTGGCTATCGTACAGGAATTACATGTCATCCAGGTTTACTTTTCTCAAAATTTCCACTGCTTCTCTATAGGGAATCTTGTCATAAGAACTTGATGCCATATATTCAAGGCGATGAACAACAGTCTTGTCGATCCTTTTCCAGATGAACATCATGTCTTCCCAACAGTTATCCGATATCCATCTGCATAGAAACTTGAAATAGTCCTCAGCACATTTCATGGCATCCCGGAAACTCCAATCAAAGATATCGATGTGATCAATGTGTGAACAATTAAGATGGTTGAGCTTCGAAGATGCAAAAGCTTACTTCTAGTTGTGAAAAAGCCATCTCGGCCTCAACTGTCCGCATTTCAGCCACATGCTTGGTGGACAATGTTTTATCGGCGTGAAATCTGAGTCCAAATGATTAAACATGTCCGAGAGCACGTGCGTAGCTCTCCAAATGAAGGTGGCCGGAAACAGTTAAATAACTCTGCCGACCGAAGAAATCCACATTGAAGCTCACTAAGTCAGGCTTCACAGCAGTTACTGCTTTGGACTTTTCTGTTGTTTCAACCTGTTGTGCTAATTTATTTGTTTTTCTCAGGCCCTGAAGAGCAGCAGCAAGTGCTTCTCTATTGCTGTCACTTCTCTTGAGTTCTTCAACTAGAATTGATTTCTCCTTCACAGCAGCCTTAATGGTTTCCAGGCTAACACCGTCAGCATCACTAACACCGATTGATGCCTCCTTGCTTATTTCGCCGAGAATAGTAGTGACCTGAAACTTTTCGCTGAACCCTTCAGAATCTGTTGTTGTGATAATTGGCACATGCACATGTAAAAAACCATGGTTCTGAAAGAATGTGTGGGTTGCGAAATCTAGGCCGCTGCGGATTCATGTTACAGATGCCACCTGCAACATAAAACATAGCATTCAAAGTGTATATGAGGTTCAATTTTTAAGGGTTTTCTGTTCTTATGAGAGAATGTCCAGAAAAAAAACTAGCAATGTATGGAAAGAATACCGTGGTTGTCCTAGGACGAATATGGGGATAATCCCTTAAAGAATCAAGGGGTAATCTTTTCCTTGACAAAGGATACTTATCTTGCTCTACTGTCCCAACATGAAGAATTTTCTCTACTTTAAGCTCAATGGTTTGTTTTCCATGTGCCAATGGTTTTTCCAAAACACCTTGAACTGACACACATGTTCCAGTTGGTAGAATTTGGCCTGCGGACACTGGAACTGTAGCTGAATCTATCACAACCTGAGAAACTCTCAATGTGAATTTGGAACTTGCTGCATCAACCAATTCGTAAAATGACGGATCTAAGAATATCTTTTAAGATGGACACATATATATTAATAACATAAATTTTTCGTATGGACGAACCCAAATAAAATTTCAGGGTGAACATGTTCAGTAAAATAGAAAACTAATATAAAAAATTTGGGCGTAATGTGCCCACTTTGGAGTGCAATTAAGTCTCTATGTAATCACTCCAAAGATACGGAGGAAAAAAAAAGGTATGAGGTTTACCTTCAGGCTTGAAACACTAGAGCCATCATTGATTTCTAAAAAGAAAATGGAAGGAGGGGGGTTTAGGAATCAAAGACTCCAACTTTTTTCGAACAGCTGGGGTCCTGCCATCGGTGGTGATGATGGCGGCGGCGGAGGCATAAGCTCCTTCTGCACCTCCTTGGAAACTTTAACCCACCCACCAACCACTACTATCGTACCGACGAACCCCGTCTCGGCATCACTACCTTCCAGTACGGTTTTCACCGGCACCCGGTTCGAGTACATCAAAGTGGACTTTATAACATTGGGTTCTTGAGACTCCATTTTTGTCTATGAAAAGCAGAGAGTGAACAAGGTTTGGAAATGGTGATGGGCAATGGCAGGGTTGAAGGTGATGATATAGAGGGAAAAAAAGGGGTGGTTTTGCTTGAGAAGGAAGAGAATGTGAAGCAAGCAAAGGTAAGGGATTGCTTGCCTTCATAGGCATGGGTTGTGGGATAACAATGGCGAAGCTTAAGCTTAAAGGACTTGGAGAGAAGAAGAAGGCTTGGCGGCAAGGTTTGGTATTCTTCTACTGTTGGGTTTTCGCGGGAAAATCCCAAACTCCCAACTGCTTTACAAACAATAACGAAAGGTTTCTACTTTTACTATTTCCTTTTTTAATTAAAAAAGATTTAACTTTTATACAAATTTAATTTAATTATATTTTGTCTTATTTTTTTTATTGTTTATTCATTTTAAATCAATTATGACATGATTTTTATTTTACTTGTTTATTATAGCAATATTTACAAAGTAATAAAGATAATATGGTAATTTGGTATGATTAAAACGGTTCTTATGATAATTCATGTAGAATAAGAACAAGGAAAAGAATAAAATAAATTAATCAGAACTTTGATTACTAAAGACAATACTGCTCCAAATTATTATGCTAATTTGCTACTGATTGTAAAAGCACATATTTTGTTGAATTATTTTGAGAAAATAATATATATTACAGAAAAAATAAGAGAAACTTGTAAAATAAAAAATAAGAAAATATTGATAAAAAATATTTAGAGATATATGCTTATTTGAATAATAACACCTAAATTTGTTTGAGCTGATGTGAGATAAATTTTCTGTTCAACCATATATCTGTTTTGCACTTTTGGATTAAGTTTATATATATATATTAAAATGAAAATTTAATGAACAAAGGAATTTAAACGAAATAGAGCACTAAAGAGATATAATAATATTATTGCTTGAATTATAAGTATAGTGTAAAATTTTAAAAAAGATTAAAATTATAGGGATCTAAATATTTTTTAAAAAGAAACTCGTGATATTGTGCGTTTAGTTTTATTATTTTTTATTAGCAATTTTAATTTTTTAAACTTCGTTATTTTTAACTTGTTGATGATATTATCAAAATTAATGAAAAATGTTTGGCTATACCATGATACGCCACGTGTCATTGTCTAATATTCTTCCGACTTCTTCTCTTCTATGTTAACATGACAATACTCGAACCTTGTCTCTGAACAGTTCAAAAGCTGCCTTAGCTAATGGCTTTGTCAACCCATTAGTCATTTGAAAGCTTGTTGGAACATAGCTCACCCGAAACTGATGTGATGCGACCTTCTCGAATAAAGTGAATATCTAAATCAAGGTGTTTTGACCGAGCATGATATACAGGGTTCACGCTTATCACAATTACACTTGTATTATCGCAACAGATGACTGGTTCATCTTATCAGGGAACCTGTAGGCCTATCAGCAAAGCAGTGACCCACGTGACTCGGCTGCAGCATCAGTACGGTCCAGTACTCGACTTTTATCATCAAACGAGACATTGTTTTATGCTTCCTTGAGTTCCAAGCGATCAAACAATCACCCATAAATACTCAATGACAAAACATGGATCAACGGTCACCAATATCACCTCCCTAATCAACATAAGAAAATGCTCTTATATTTAGCATTGCACACGTCATAAAAAAAATAAAATCTTAGTCCAATGTTCCGCTAGAAATGTATTTCACATGGAGTATACATGAATTGTGCTATCTTGTTAACGGAAAATGCCACGTCTGGTCTACTATGACACACGTAAAGCAACACAACGACTATATTATGATATTCATATGCGTCAGCAAGATGAACACCAATTTGTTCAGTCAACTTTAACGCAACAATAGTTGGTGGGCAAGTGGGCTTTGTAACACCTTAAACCCGAATGTACCTAA